TTGTCAAGCCCTGAGCATAAGTATCAAACTTTGATACTCACAAATTTGATACTCATGCTAATGGATTAAATAAAGATACCTAATGGCTGTGTTACTGCTTTACAGACCGCAAATGTCTATTTTAGGGATTCACAGAGACCCAGTGTGAACGCTTTTTTTTTCCTCCATTAGTTAGCTCATTTTAATTGTCACACTAGCTATCCCTTCCTAATTCACACAGTTTAGCCTCCACCCCCCGCTGTAAATTTACAGTATGTCTCTTTTACTATGTCTCACAATGAGTCTCTTCTTTTTATTTGGCACTCGAGGCATTACAGTAATATAAATCATACCCAGCAGCTGGCTCACATTGCTGTATGTCATCTCAGGCCCTATTGGACTGAAGTTCATATTTGAAGTCTCTGTTGCAGTGGAAAGGTAATAAGGAACAGAGGGTCTGCAGAAGAGGAAGGACTTGTGTTCCAGAAATGGGGCCGAGATAGGTCCCAAACCTTCTCAAACCCCTTATGGATAGTGTGACTTTTGTCCCTAGATCCAAATTGGGATTGATGGTGAGCGGAAACAAGACAATAGAAAATTTGAGAACACAGCTTGCAAGGTCTTCCTGAAACCAGCGAGGAGTCCTGTGGCACCTTAGAAACTAGTATTTATTAGGATATAAGCTTTCATGGGTAAGAACCACTTCATCTGATGAATTGGAGTGGAAGTTACAGTAAATCCTAGCTTCCGGGTTAATGTGCTGCTTCTAGGTCCTCTCTGAGACATAGTGACAGTTACTACTTGCATCCAGCTCACAGTGATGGCGGACTGTCTTCCCTTTTGCTGTTGAATCAGAGTGCAGAGGAGTTGAGGCCGAGAGCTGGGCTGTCAGAGAAAGTGGTGGGAAAGCAGGAGCAGTGCAGCATTTTTGTTTTTTCACTCTACCAAAATTCCACTAACTCTGAAGGAAAAAGCAAATGGAGAAATTGCTGTCTGGGTGGAAATGTCTAACTCTAGGTTTTATGAGCTGTCTCTGGGCTAAGAGCTCTTCCAGTAGAAGCCAGGGTTGCTATGGCAATCGAATGAGTTTTCTCCCTCCTGCTTCCTTCCCTGTGAAACCACAAGTGGCCAGATTTTAGTGATGTAAAATCCTGTTTAAAATGTCAGCTGGTTAAACTGCCTGTTTTACTGGTTAACCGGCCCATCACACACCATGCTGCTGGCAGCAGGGGCTGCCCCAGCCCGGTTTGGCCCACTGCGTTATCACCAGGCTGCTCAGGCCGGGCCAAGGGTAGGGGTCTGCTCCAGGAAGGCTAGGCAGGGCCTGCCACACTAGAGATGGGCTGGGGAGGGGAGAGGGAGGCCTGGTGCTGGTTAACCAGTTACCCCAGCAAATATGCCGGTAAGCCCTCTACATCCCTACCAGATTCCTCAATGATGATTAATATATTTTTGGTGGTTTTTCAGGGAAGGATGTTTTTCAGGGAATTGATAACATAGTTCTGTCTTTAACCTTATCATGAAAAAAGTGTTTAGACTCTTCTCTCTTTAAATACTTCCCTGTCTGTCCTTCAAAGCTCATAGGGAATGTCTACACTGCACGGCAATTTCGGGATGCCAGAGGTATCCCAAAATAGCTATCCCGCATCTACACAAGCCACACGTTATTTTGAAATATTTTTTAAATAACTGGTGCACACTGTTTCGGCATCCCAGTAAATCTTGTTGCATGAGGGATCGGGGTGGTTCGAAATAGCGTGTTGTTCCGAAATTTGGCACTGTGTCCATGTGCCAAATTTCAAAATAAGCTATTTTAAAATAGATTCCAAATAAGATACGCAAATTGTGTATCTTATTTCGAGTTTAGGGTGCTGTGTAGACACACCCTTTTGAGACAACTTGCTCCTGGATTCCTCCCAAATGTGATCTCATTTGCTGGTGTGTAACTATGGTGAGTGAGATGGGCGAAGGCAAGGACTGAGCCAGCCAAAAAGAGGCACAGAAATGCAACAGTCAAGTCCAAATGAGCCCAGACATCCTCTTTTTGGGTGGTTCTCCTGCTAACAGCTGTCCACAGACTTTTGCCTTAGAAGTGGCATTGATTAATTATGGACCCTTCTCTTCTTTCCAACTGAATAAACAAATGTGGATTTTATTATCATCCTAGACAACTAATGAGAAACTCCAGACTGGATTCTGACTTCCAATTTTTTTTTAAAGCTCCTACCTTCCTTACATGGAGCTCAATTGGAACTCTGTCTCCTTCCTTCCCCCGCTCTTTAGTCACTTTTTCCATAGCAAATATTTAAAGAGTCTTGACCTACCTGAAGCAAACTGAGGTGGTGAGGGTTAAATACTGTATCTAAGTCCCTAATGAGCACTGAAAGCTCAGCTGAACCAGAAAAACTGAAAATTGACATGGGCAAAATCACTAGATGTTTACTGGGCTAAATTTTTCAGGGGACCTACTTGCATGCTTGCATAGGCTTTATACTTGTGTGCACAGATTGGGTGATGATGAGTGTGTTATAGGCTACTACATAACAATTTGCATGAGTAGTCAGTCATATGTTTGCATTCATAATAGAGCTTGCCACTGTTATAGCGTACCAAGTTACTTGCCTATCAAGCTAATAATTTAAATTAATACAAACATATTAATTCGGTAATAGTTTAAAGCTGTAATGCAAGAAATCTTCTAAAAACTGCTCTCAGCATTCCCGTAGGCCCTTTGTGTTAGCTGGACTGATGTCTGGGTTCAGGTGTAATACACTAGGCCTTATGTCTGCCCATTGCAGTTTGTGAAGGCCCACTAATACTAACACAGCAGCACTCAACTGCTTGCAGGAGGCGGGGGCTTTGCCATTAACCCAGCTGGGTACAGGTCCAGGCCCTTTCTTAGCTGGGGCCAGGACATGTTTGTATATAAGAGTCTAGTAAGAGCCCCAAATTAGTGGTCCTGCTGCTTGTACCTGTCTGTTTGCATATGCTGCTTGCCTTCCCCCACACAGCCAACCACAAGCCTGTTGGTGTGCCGTGCACTGACGGGGCTGTGTGGCAGTCCAGATGCCATTAGGCATAGGAGCATCATGGGTGCCATACAGCCTAGCCCTAGGCTTTCTAGTGAGTCGGGTTCCCCTGCAGTGCAGTGGCTCCTGTTCTAGGATATACTAAAATGGCCTCTGAACGCACTTTCCAAATGACTGCCATGTCTTCATTACAGCCAATTAGAGGTCAGGGCTGCACTTGAATGAAAGAACATACATAAGCTCACAGTCCAGGTCAAGTAATATGGGGCTATATTTTATCTTTTGTCCATGCTGCAACAGGCCATTCACAAGCTCAGCGGAAGCGGAGGGTGTCAGACTTCTGTGGTTGAGACATGATCTCACCAGATACTGGTCATAGTTTTTTTCTGGTTTCCCGGGGACTGAAAAGGGGTACTTAGCTCTGGACCTTTCACCCACACAGGATGGTAGAAAAAATACCATCCGGCTCAGCAGATGTATTATTATATAAAAGTCCCAAATAATTGGTCCAGGCTGTGTTGAGAAATCAGGACACAGGTTGCAATAGATAACCACAAAGGCCCATAGCAATGAATTGATATATGTGATAGTAAGTTAAGAGCAATGATACATTGACCAATAGGAAAAGAACACTTTAGCATTAGAAACATCCCCTATTGAACATGCATCAAACGTGTTATCATCTGCATCACTTGGTATAAAAGTGGCACCCCAGCCTACGGGGCAATAGGGAGAAGAAGATACAGTCCTTCAAAGGGCCAGAAGGATGGTACCTGGTGATGGGGAAGGTGAAAATAATGAGAGAGATGATGGGCTAACACCTAAGATTGTTCTAGAAGGAATGATGAAAGTCTATGGTATGGAAATACGGATGGACATTCCCTGTCTTATGAAATTGGGGTGTCTGTGACCGTGCTAACCATATCAATAAACTATATTTGTAAATATCCAGAGTTTCTATGGTGTGAGTGTTGCAACCGTGCACATCTGGGTTCCCAATCATAGAACAGGCCTGCGCAACATACAGCCTGAGGGCCGCATGCGGCCCGCAGGGGCTCACTGTGCAGCCCGTGACAACTACGGGTGGCGCGGCCCCATCCGATCCGCCAGCCAGGCGGAGGAGTGGAGCGCCGCTGGGGAGGGGGAAGTGCGTCAGTTCTCGCCTCTGGGATGCCTGCGTGCAGCTCCAGCGCGTGGAGTTGGGGTGTGAGCCAGAGGGCGGGACGTCGGCAGACGCCAGGATGCTGGTGTGACATCATGGCCAGCGACTGCCGGATTATAAAGGGGAAGGGGCTTCTGCTGAGGGGAGCGGGGCAGGTCAGGAGAAAGGCGAAGACACCAAGGGGCAGGATGAAGGCGAGACAAATGCCAGGGGGCCAAGTAGAGACATGCATGTGTTGTTTTTGCTCAACAAAAATTTTTAGCCACGTGTTTGGTATTTTTTGGGAGAGCATTCCTACTTGTGGCCCGCAGCCGTTTTCTTTGGAGTAATATGGCCCTCGTCACTTTCCGAGTTGTGCAGGCCTGTCATAGAATAATTGAAAAAATCTTGCCCTATCATAAGAAGGAAACATTCCACCAAAACTGGCCAAAATGTTCCAACTAAAATCACAAACTCTTCAATTGTGAAGAGCTGGAGAGAAGTAGTGATTAAGGCAGGGGCTGACAAAATACAGTGTGTGGTCCGGATTCGGCCCACCAAACCACCAGATCTGGCCCACCACTGTCCTGCAGCCCAGCAGAGCCTCAGGCAGGCTCTCTGCCTGCCCCATCCTCTGCACACCATTCAAAGAAGCCATGTGCGGGGTCCATGTGTATTTATGTGCTGTGCACTCCTTGGAGGCAGGAGAGGGGGCTGCCTCCGCCCCCTGTACATTGGATAAGGCCCCTGGAAGCACTTGATTTCTATGTAAATAGACTGTATTATTGGACGCATTTGATGGAATGAGTAATGTTGCTAATTATGGACCCTTCTTTCTGGTTTCCATCCAGCTCGCAGGAGGAATCATTCTGGGAGTGGCACTCTGGCTCCGTCATGATTCACAGACCACAAATATTCTGTACTTGCATCTTGGTGACAAGCAGGCCCCGAATACATTCTATGTTGGTAAGTACTGCTAGGAAAGATGTGGGTGTGCAGGCAGCGGGGTTTGTATTTATCTCCATTGGTGGTGGTACCCTGCACTACTGTTGCACCCAAGCTGACACGCTCAGAAATGCAAACAGAAAGCACTGTTCATATGTAGATATCCTAAAAACTTAGTGTGTGTGCCCCTAAGGGGCATATGGCACATTTCATTCCATGTATTAACTTAATATATCTCATATTAGTAAGCTGTGGCATGCATGTGCAAATCCTGTATGATTACATGCAACACAGGATACATTTCTCTCAAATCCTAAAGTCACAGGTAGGGGTGGGCACAGGGCCCTCTGTGGGCCAGATTTGGCCTGCCAACCAGGTGGATCCAGCCCATGCACACCTGCCACTCTTCTTCTCCCAGGCCAATCAGGGCTTGGGGGCGGGAGGGTTTTGAGAAGTCTCTCACTCCCTGCCCCCACCCTGCAAGCACTGTATGCCCCTTGCAGGGCGGGGACAGGGAGTGACAGACTTTTCACGCTCCTCCCACCCCCAGGCCCTAATTAGCCTGGGGCGGGAGAAAGCATTCCATGTCTCCTCCTGCCCTGCAAGGGGGCAGGTGCCTACAGGGAACCGCCAGCTGTTCAGAACAGCTGGCAGTTCTCTGTAGGTGGGGGGAAGGGGTAGGGGCAAAGACTTCACTGCTCTCTGATCCCCCAGGCCAATCAGGATCTGTGGGAGGGGGAGCACGGAAGTGTCTGGCACCACCCCTTTTGCCAGAGGCCCTGCCCTTTCTGCCAAAGGCCTTGCCCCTTTCTGGGTGGCCCAGAGCCACTTAAAAAATTAGTGAAGTGGCCCCCCCATCTAAAATTATTGCCTACCCTTGGTGAAAGGGGTTAAAATAAAACACATCTTTTTAAAAAATCCAGTTTTTCTCTGCAAGCAGGGAAGAATTATTTATTTTGATTTTCACAGGTATCCTTTTAAAAAAAATCTTTAGCTTCATTAGGAAGTTATGTGATGGGACTGGGCATAGGGGGAGGAGGAATTGCTTGTGGTAGCTGTTTTCTAGGATTGTTGGTTTTTTATTGAGAGGCTGTGGAGCAGCTGAAGGAACAGTCAGCAATGGAAAATAAACTGTGGAGACCAGCATGACTCATGTTTTCCAGACACATGTGAGTGTGTTAGGTTTAATGTGATTTCAATAATTGGTCTGCATGCTGACTTGTTGGAAAGGGGAGACCTTTATTTGGTTGTGCTTCTCTGTACTTGAGTGCCACCTCAATTCTTGGAGTGCTGCTTGAGTGGGACCTTACCAAGGGCCTCTTCTCTTAAGAGGGTTGGCCTCTGCACTATGTATCTGAAACCAGCTGCCTCTCTGCAAGGGGAATGCTGAGGAGGCTCTGCGCGAGGGAAGTGGAGACTGCAGGGTA